CSYCTCWMMACAMAMMSCRMAAATAGGAGAATCTGTTACCAATTCATTCGACACATCCAATTTTCTCTTCCTTGACATTGTAAGAAGTGGGTGTRCATTAGGGGAGTGTCTCTGTCTTTTTCCTTGCCCCCAGTGGCTTAACGAGAATTTCATTTRTTGGTTGTTGCCGCATGACGATTTGATTACATCGACRACGTTCAAAAGATGGGCAAAAGCAATAATAGTAACTTTGTGGTGGATCTATTGCTAAGCGACGACGACGAGGAAGAGGAGGAGGTGGTAGGTGAAAATAGCAAGGATATTGCGAGGAAGTACAATCGTGCGATTGGTGGCGAGAMTGTTCCTAAAGTGGACAAAACGAGCGATACAAAACTACAAACCCGCAATCGTAGCACCGATGGAGAAACTCCCTGCAACAAAGGGAATAATGGTTTGACATCACAAGCGGAAAAAGACGCTGCTGCCTCGATAACGCCTATCGGCACCATCAAAAATGGTGTAGCTAGCTCTTCCAAACCCTTTCCCAAATGGGACTGGAAMAAAACRACCAACCRSAAACCATCGAAAAAGAAAGAACCGCCTTYAAAAATGGTGAAGACAACCACCAGYCAGGGCCTCCAGGCTGGGTTAGTTCTGGAGGAAGATATTTTTGCGGCGTTTCCACAGGAAGCTAGCTACGAAGAAGCTATGGCTGGTGATATCTCTCCTAAGCCCTTTGAATTGTTCGAAGACCGCGATTTCGGTCCGGTTGCATCTTCCATACAAGGCATGCATAGGGCCTCGATAGCCGATTTGGATACCCGTGGCAACAGGCTCCACGACACGAAGGTTTCGAAACAACAGCAACAGAATGCTTCCACAGAGAAGTGGCGACCCAGGTGTCGATGCAGTGGCGTCCTCGCTTCCCTGTCGTTCAAAGAGACCGACAGCTTGCGGGCCTATTTCCGATGCGGCAGAACCGGAAGGGGCCGGAAGTGCCAGTTTTTCGARTGGGCCTTTCAGGCAGAGTTGATTCCCTGGTATCGATTCGGCGCGCACAACCACCACGTCCTCGTTCGGCAACCAGCAACAAGGGTSCATTCCGCCACCRCTTCGGCCACCCCGCGATCGGAATCAACGCCGGCGTYGGCCRCATCCTCCGTTTTTTCCGCGCAAGATCTTGTCCAGGGCAARGTGGGGGACTGCTGGTTCCTGAGCGCGCTCGCAGTCGTGGCGGAACGATCCGACCTGGTAGAGCGGCTCTTTCGGACACGGCCGGGGGAGGTCGGATTCGAGGACGACCAGAGGGGGGTTGTTCGGGTCAATCTRTTTCTGGACGGGATCTGGACGCCAGTGGTCATGGACAATTTTCTGCCCTGTATCCTTGGGGGCCGAGGRAAGGAAGAGGAAGAATTGCAGCGGGCCATCGAGGCGAGCTTGCTCGACGCCAGCAAGAATCCAATACGAAATCCCTACGCGAAACTAAAGAAAGCAAAACACAACGCCGACCTCTATTCTTCGTGCACGCAGCGATTCCMGCCCACACCATCAATTCAAAACAATCCACATGGCTTGTCTATCAGCAACATACGCATCATGAATGCCACCAGCGATTTCCTCCGAGAACAGTACAGCAAGGGAAAGGATAGAAGCATCAGTGGAAATTCGAATAGTTTTCAACCACGGCTGTTGAAGGAAGGTCACCTCGCCCAAACACTTGACCTAGCCTATTCCAAGGCACGCAGAAACCAGCTGTGGGTCCCCTTTTTGGAAAAAGCTTATGCAAAAATCCACGGATCCTACAAGGCCATCAGTGGCGGCCATGTAGCTGAGGCCTTTTTGGATCTAACGGGGGCGCCCACACTACAAATTGGCTGGCACGCCAGCCGTTTAGCTTCCGAGGGCAGCAGCACCCTCTACCGAGACCCCAAGCGCCTCTGGTCGGATCTCAAAAKGTGGAGGGCCCAGGAACTACCAATGGGATGCGGGACCAATCATTCCGCGGGTGGTCTGATTGGCATGCACGCATATAGCATACTGGATGTTCGAGAGGTTTCCAATGTAGGGGTCGACTTTTTTCGGGACCGACTTCTCACTGGAACCCTAGGGAACGTGAGCGGCTTTAACGAATACGATGGAAAGGTACGGTTGTTGCGGGTCCGGAATCCCCACGGGCAGGGCGAATGGAAAGGTGAATTCTCGGACAAGTGCGACATGTGGGAAAAGCTCATGGTCAACAGTGGGAACACCCTGCCCAGAACCATGGCTAATGATGGGACATTTTGGATAGGATACGACGATTTTTTGTTGGGATTCTCCAACATCGACGTCGTTTTGGCGCACAAAGGGAACCACGCAAAGTCCTTTGTTTCGAATTTTCCGCCCAAGAAATCCAATCACAGGTGCCAACGCGCCTTCGAGGTTTCCCTCATCGATCCACAACCCGGCCTCGAAACCAAGGAGCGYGTGGAGGTTTACGTGATGGGGATCCAAAAGAGCAGGCGTGGAGCCCGTCAGGGCCGAGCGGACCGGAAGAAATCCTACAAGGTGTCGGATTTTGGGATCCTGGTAGGAGAATATGCGCTCGGGGAGGAATCGGGAGACAATGGCTATAGCACAATACGGGGTGAGGGCTGCAGCCCGAACCAACCATTCGGTGCGGTACACGGGCAGATGTTTGGATTCCAGCGCAACGGTCACTACAAACTGGTGCTGGACCGCAAGTACTGCAAGCGGCTAGTTGTCATGCCCGTCTCGTTCGGTCATCCCGCGGCAACCGATGAATTCTTGAGTTTTGTCGTTAGATTCAACGCCGATGCTCCTCTCATGATCCGGGAGCTCGAAACGGTTCCGCGGATGGATCGAGTTCTCGGGGACTTCCTGGTCTCVCCCAAGCCAKCCGGTCATTTCGAAAAGACACGACAGGGCAAGAAAACCACGCTATGGGCCAATCGTGACTTCAAAGTATTACAGGTCGATTGCCGGGGGAACAGCGGCGGGACGGTCTTTGTCTATTTGTGCACAAGCGGTAGCACCGGAACAGGTTTTGCGAAAATGACGGAGTCTGTTTCGCTGAGCTTAGAAGCGTCCTGCCGAGGCATGTCATGCCGAGTGCAGGGGGGTCTGCTGGACTATGAAACCACCGCCAAGGGAAAGAAGTTCCAGGCTTCTTGGAGAAAATTTAGCACGGTTGTTACCATCGGAGCAAAATCAGGGGAGGCCGGGTCGGAGCGATCGCGTCTGCTGATGGTTCTGTATCAGTCTGGGCAGGATACGGAAATGGGCACGATTACCTGCAAATCAATGGGACGCATACTCGGTACAAGAAATATTAACGATTGCAAAAGTCCGACAAAGCCCGCTGCATCTGCAACCCTAGATAGATACTGGAAGAAACCGTCGGTTGGAACCAATGGCACCCAAATAGATCGGCAAAGAGATGACTACAAGGAACTTGGTATATTCCATCCGATCGCTATGGATGCCGAAGCCTTTCGGCGCTGCGGATCAAACTACGAGCTCAATTCMTCCACTAGTGGCTTCGGGCCGACTCACGGAGAAGTTCTKGTGGACGACGCGGATCTGGAAATTGCCSTYGCACTATCKCGCCAAGAGCAGGACGCCACCGTGCCGGCCGGCGCCAATGTCGATAACAATGCGAATGGCAAGTTATCGRTCGAGGAAGCGATGCTGCAGACAGTGCTRATGCGGAGCCGCCTCGAGCATCGCACCTCTGCCGGGGGAACCGTGCTTCCGGCCGATGATTTTTCACGGGACGAAGCGCAAATGGAAGATGCCCCGAGGCGCGGCCACGAAGAGCGACAAAGCCCCAAAAACGAAGTTCTCGACCTGGTCGGCAAAAGGACTGCAGCCGGAGGCGCGCCTGCGAACGGTTTGGACACGGCAGTCACGATCGATCTCACCGCCGCAGAGGCCACGGTCGCCACCGGCGGTGCGGCGAAAGGATCCACCGCGGCGGCGGGGTCGYCAGAGGTCCTGGACCTGACCGCCCCCGATGCGCGGGCCTCCCCGTTGCCGCCGCGGGACCCACCCGCGAACCGATCGGCCAAGCAAGACGGAGCGGGGGACGGCGGTGTCGGCACCAACCTCTTGGTGCTCCTGGACAGCAGCGACGAGGAGGGAGACACCGGCGACCGCCCGTCCGGGAGCGAGGCACCGCCGAACGGGCGCGTCGGCGGTCCTTCACGTGCCGACGGCAGCGGCAACAGCGGTGCGGGTCCCAGCGACGCCGAGCGGCTGGMCAAAAAGCGAAAGCTGGCCGCAGACGCGGCCATGAAGCGATTGCAGCGGTGGCCCTAGCAGAGCATGTGCCACGCCATCGTGCCACCGGAAGGAAAGAGGATGTGATGATAGTACCGACGTAAAATAGAGTAGAATCCAATAGAATAGAACCATACACCACATCGCCTGTGCGATTGCAACATACGATAAATACACGACAGGTGATCTATCACGATATTATGAAGCACATGCATTATTTTTGTATGGATGCGGAAAGTACCATATTGCCTATTTTCTACCTCTCTTCCCGAAGGTTGGGAGACATAGAAAATAAATCATATAGCACTGAATACAGGCAGCTCCCAYACTCCTAAACAAACTAAAGACGTCCATGGAGATCACGAAGATAATATACAGCGTTTGAATAGATACGGTTAAACCCAATTAACATCAAAACAGGAAACTAGGAAATAAAGAAGTAAGTAGTATTTTTTGCGGATGCGCGAAGTTTTGTGGTGACCGTAGTCGTGGTGTCTACTCCGTCTATTTTGAATTGTGTGACTCGGTCGGAGCCGGCGGCCGCGTGTGTTTTTGTTGAATTTACGATKGAACGGTTGTTCTAACCGATTACGGGGTTAAAGCTCAAGGGTCAAAGCTCAGCGAGCGAACGATGAATGCTTGTTGTACCGTACGATTTGTAGCTAGGAATTCTGGTAAGAGTACTGGGACCTGAATCAGTATGAGTATTTTTTCAAACTCCATTCCATCCACCGACCCGGCGATGACCAAGACTGGAAAAAGTACTGGGTAGCTCGTTGAAAACCTACATGGATCGACAGGCTGCCGCAAATTTCGCATGCCGTGCCAAGCAAAAAAATGATAAATGATCACCAGAACAGCCCCGACCGATCTCATTGGCGACCGGGCACTAACAACTAGACAAAACTTTGAGTCACGTTTRGACGAATCGACAACTCACGAAACGACAATGCGCTGCCCGTTCCACCGGGCCGTACAGTTGGTGCGTATGGTACGATGCGACGCGACGCGATGCAGCGTAGGAGTTGCGTTGGTTCCGTACCGTACTGGGCTTGTTTCACCGGGATAAGTGTGTACGAGCATCGGTACGAGTATCGTATCGTACCTCATGGGACGGTTTGMGCCACCCTGCCTCCGCGTGCAGAAAGAGCCTGCCCCCGCTCACATCAAGAATTCATTGCCGGTCGGTCTCTCCATCTCCTGGATCGTGGCAATTCATTTTCGAATCGGTCACGTGCCAAGCGAGACACCAACACACCGACACACAAATCACTACCATCCACAAGCGGCAAATTCCATCCGCAACTGCCAAACGGTGAGGTGCGACGAACGATAAAGTCCAAGAGATCGAGACACACACGACTCTAATACCGTACTAAAGACCTCTTGCGTTATTTAATACGGGAACTGCAAAGCTACGGCACGCTAGGTGTTGGCTTGGTATTTTGGCTTGGCGTGAAAGTGCAGCCAAGAGGTAGATTTCTGCCCCCATCTCGACGGGCACGCCAAACCAATCGAGGGGCGACAATACTGCCAGGAATTATCTGATCGAGGAGACGGAGGTTTCGAGACAACCCAACCTGTTTGGTGCCATCGGAGACAAGGCATCGAATCGCATAAGGAATCAAAAGCCAAAGCTAGTAGCAACAGACACGTTCGCAATCGAAACCAGAGCCACAGCCAGAGCAAGCAATCGACAAACATGGGAAACGAGGGGTCGCTGCCGGCGGGCGAGAACCCGGAGGGGTTCGACTTTGACGGGAGGTCGCCCCCGTCCGCGGTCCGGCCCGGTGGCCAGCCCTACGGCGTCGGAAGCAACGACCCCCGCTCCGTGAACGGGAACGCTGGGCGCCTGAAGGGGAGCGTCTTTACCCGCCGGAGCAACGCCCACAACCAGAACTCGAGCGGGATCGAGCGGGCCCCGGCGGCCTCCCAGTACACGATCTCGTCGGCGGCCTCGGACACGTCGGTCTCGTCGTACCACACCACCTCGAACGGCGGCATGCACGGAGACGAGCTGGCCTATGTGAACCACCCACAAGCGCAACCGCAGCAGCTGCACTCCTATCCCGGTCGTGCGCAAAACCCCTATCAGCAGCAGCAACAGCAGCCGCCGCCATCGATCTACGCACCACAGGAGCACCACCAACACCCGCAATACCAACAGCACTACTCGCAATCGCTACCGAACCATCCACAGACACACCACACCAATTATGCGCAACAGCAAATTCACGGAAGCACCAACACCACCAACAACAACACGACAAAGAAACCCCGGCCCGGGCAGCGCGCAGGCGCGGCAATCATGAACAGCATGAGGAACCTAAACCTGGGTTCCGCGATGCACCGGATCGGTGGTGTGGGTGGAATCGGCAAGAGCCCGGCTGCCAGYCCCACCCGGGGTGGAACCAGCAGACGACAGTCCCACCAGCGGCGGCAGCARCAGCAGCAACAGCAACAACAACACGAACAACACCAGGTAAACGAATGGGAGGCCAGGTGGGACGACGATTCGGACGACGACGACGACGATGGCAACGACAGCAGCCATTCTTCKCCCCGCTCGCAGCAACTGCAACAGCAGCAACCACAACAAACCCAGGCAAGCATCCTTCCCCCCAAAATGGATTCCGGCTACACGAGTGCTTCCGTTTCTAGCCCGGATGCGAGGGCCGGTGCGCAGCCACAGCAACCGCAGACGCCGCCGCCCCCGATGGGCCAGCACCCGGCGTACCCGGCCACGGCCTCCGCCGCGATGGCGACCACGGCCGGCGATCGGCGGCTCGTGACCGACGACGAAGACGACGGGGTCGAGTGGGACACCGGGKYCTCGGGAGGGAAACCYKCGGCGCAAGACGCGAGCGCAAACGCAACCGACGACGACGAGAAAACGCCCAACGTGAAGCAGTTTCTGCCGCTGCTGCGGGTTCTGGGAAAGGGATCTTTTGGAAAGGTACGTGTCGGCTCGCAGTCGCTGTATTTGGATCGGATCGGATCGGGTCGGGTTGGGTTGGGTTGGGTTGGGTTGGGTTGCACGTGCCGGGCTCGGTGTTTTCCATTTGGCGGTTCCGTGTCTTGGGTCGGAACCCGTCGAACCAAGCTAGTGTGTTGCGTTGTTGTGTTTCGACAGYCTAACAATCGTTCCTTCTTTCTCCCTTCCAACGATGCTGTAGGTCGTGCTGGTCCAAAAACGCGTGGGGAGGGAACAGGGGTCTCTGTTTGCAATGAAGATACTGAAAAAGACGCACCTGGTCCGGCGACGACAGATCGAGAGAACCCGGACGGAGCGCAAGGTGCTTTCGGCGGTCAACCACCCCTTTATCATGAAGCTCCACTACGCGTTCCAGAGCCCGGAAAAGCTCTACCTGGTGCTGGATTACTGCCCCGGTGGCGAACTCTTCTTCCATCTCTCGCGGTTTCGGAGGTTCCCGGAGCGGGTGGCCCGGTTCTACGCGGCAGAATTACTGCTGGCCCTGGGYCACCTCCACAAGCGGGGGATCATCTACCGGGACCTGAAACCCGAAAACGTGCTGCTGGACGCCGACGGGCAYGTGAAACTCGGGGACTTTGGCCTGGCGAAGGCCGGRATCCGCCACGCGTACGAGGGCGCTACGTCGATGTGCGGGACGCCGGAGTACATGGCCCCCGAGGTCCTGGCCCAGCAGGGCCACGGGTTTTGCGTCGACTACTGGGGCCTCGGCATGCTGACGTACGAAATGATGACCGGGCTTCCGCCCTGGTACACGACCGATCGGACGAAGCTCTTTCGGAGGCTGCGGAGCGCTCCGCTGGACATTCCTCCTTACTTTTCTGCGCCGTCCGCCTCGTTTTCAGCAGCGCTGCTGGAACGAAACCCCCGGAGGAGGCTGGGGGTGACCGGCATCCGCGCCGCCATGGAGCACGAGTTTTTCAAGAGCATCAGCTGGAGGGCCCTGTACGGTCGCCGTGTGGAGGCACCGATCCGTCCGTGCGAGGGATGGTCTCCGCCGGGGAGCGGCGGGGACGAAAGCCCCACCCATGGCTCGCAGTCGCAGAACCAAACAAACGCACACGACTCATCGTCGTCGCCCCAAACCACCACGATCCCCACGGATCTGGACGCCGCCACGGCGAATTTCGACAACCAGTTCACCCGAATGCCSGTAGAAACGGACGAAGACGGAAACGTTCACGACGACGACGACGAACTGGAAGAACTGCACGAAGACACCTTYGTTGGATTCACCTTTGACGACACGGACCGCGACGAAATCGAAGCGGCCCAGCTCATGAAGCAACAGCAGCAGCAACAACAGCAAGCCAGGCTTAGAACGCACAACTACACCCGGGAAGGGCACCAGATTGACTAGGGCTCGGGTGGACAATCASTGGAAAGGAGGTCTTTTGGAAGTTCTACTAGCACAGCGAACGCTAATCATACTAGACAAAAGGTTTTTTGCTTCCTTGTTTCGTGCGAATGATACTGTCATTCTTGGATTGCAAGCGTAGTGCATGGTCGATGCCTTGCAATCGATTGCCCGTGTTAAGAATGGTGTGGTGGTGTTCCATACCAACAAAGCCTCTAGATGTACTGTACTGTACTGTACTGCCCGCCCTGTACGTTATCGAAATACGAAATACTACTAYGAGTAGTGAAGCAAGTACGTACCGTACGGTACGGTACGAGGAAGTATTGTACGTGTGAGCTATCTTGCCGGGACCCCAATGCTCAGTCATGGTGTGGGCAAACATTGGAATTAGTCGAATGAGTCATCCCAAAAACGGCATCTCAAAAGTGTCAAACCTCAAACCCCATCAATTTTTTGGMGCACTGGGTGCGTGCGTACGGTACTCGTATTGAGTTGCGGTATTTCGAAGTCGATCTCTCTGTAACACTCTCCCAATACCCACCGACCACCATACCGAGCAGAAAAGATTTCATTGATCAAATGATTGTGACGTCGCTACTCCAATCCATTCTTCCTATTTAGTATGGATCAAAGCCTTACAAACAAATAGTTCTTTCATGCCATGAAACGCTTCGCGTTGGCCATTTCGCTGCTGCTCTGGCTTCGAAAGGCATCGTCTTTAACRATTGGGTCGTCCCCCCCGACAAAGCAACCTACAAACTCTGCTGTGGCTACTCCGAAAGTAGTGTGGTTCAGAGATCACGCTCTTMGTGTTCGAGACAAYGACGCGTTCTATAATGCTGTAAAAAGTACATCTGGTGTGTCAAGCAAAATTGGGGTTGGCACAAACAACAATACCAACGAGAACGGAGTCAGAGTAATTCCCGTCTACATTTGGAACGGCTCTAGCAACAGCAACAGCGACGATCGCAGTCTTGATTACCCCGTTAACGCGATGACCGGTGGAACAGCAAGTGATGTTTTTATAGCAAATGCACTGAATAGTCTAAATCAAACACTGTTCGGCAGACTTTCGGTGGGATTGCTCAGCGGCAAGGCCCAGCCGGAACTTATCGCAGACGAGCTCGCAACGATTTGTAACAACAGTGGTTCTTTCGAGATCCATTACATGGAATCTCCGAATCAGAAGTTCGAAGATGCCCTGAGAGATCAGCTGGTAATCCGCAATCTTGTTCCCTGCTCAGTTAAGAGTGGGTACAGCCTGCTGGATTATACCGAAGTGCCGCCATGGAAGGAAATCATCTCGAACCATCCTTTTCGAAGCCCACTTATTCCGTTTGTGGATTACTTGATGAAGCGATTGGAACAAACGCCACCGCCATTGCCGAAAGCAGAGCCTACTGCACTAGAAGATTCCATAGGAAATCTGAGCCGCAACGTGGTTWCAAAACCCATCTCAGTTGAAGACCTTTTGAATATAGTAGGATATAGTCAGGGGAGGACAGATTGGGGGTCAAGCATCGCCGGTGCTTGGCCCGCTACCGAAAAAGATGCWATGAATGCCCTTAGCTCCTTTCTTGATTCCCTCCCTAYATCTTCRAAGTCAGCAGAAGATACCGAGGAACGTCAGAATGAATCGAAGAGGACCCACCTGGCCTCACGATTGTCGCCGTATCTTGCGCGAGGACTTCTCTCACCGAGGCAGGTCTATTGCGCCATGGTGCTATCGTCATCGGATTATGCGAAGAAAGACAAAGCATCATTCGTGAGGCGAATTTGTTGGCGCGATTACACATACGCAGTGTCATCCTTGTTCCCGGATGCGATTCGCGGACGTCCCATCCGTGAGGGCTACTCTCTCGACAAATGCAATGGAGCCGACGAAGATCAAAATAGCGAGAGCGATAGATCTGGCCTCTTTGAGCTCTGGAAAAACGGAGCGACGGGCTTCCCCCTCRTTGATGCCGGAATGCGACAGCTCACGAAAGAAGGGTGGATGCCACAGAAAGTGCGTCTCGCCACAAGCACTTGTCTGGTGGAAGGATTGGGGATCTCTTGGGAAGAAGGGATGCAACATTTTGCTGAGTATCTKGTTGATTACGATGGAGCTATAAATTCGAACATGTGGATGAATGCTGGATGCGTTGGTTTCGACCCTTATTATGTCGGAACCGATTACAAGAGGAGGCCATACTGGGACAAAGATGGGGACTATGTACGACAGTGGTGTCCAGAGTTGAAGGATCTACCAGACACTTACGAGGTTGCCGAAGCGCAAAGAGGAATAGGAACCTTCAAGGTAGACTGCCTTTATGAACCCTGGTCGGCTCCGGAAGAAGCTCTGAGAACATCCGGTGTCGTCTTAGGGGAGACGTATCCCAACCGGTGCTGCGATGAACGAATCGAAAGAAAACGGTTCTTTGAAAAGATTCGCAAACTCCGAGCGCAATGGCCCTCATCCAGAACTGATGAGCGTGGTCGAGACATAGTTCGCTTGGGCCGTGATCCAAAATCAGAGTCGATCGGAATGTTTACTCCGAGAGCGCTTCTAATAAGCAAATAGTGCAAGTGAAAGAGTCTCTCGATCGCTAATTAACAATAGAATCTTTCTGGTGATACAGTTTACGCCATAATCAGTGGTTAACCCATTCTACTCTAGAACGTGTTTTGTTTTGGACTGTCGTTGACAATGCTAGGATGAATGTTGTTTGATACTTTTGTTTGAGTCTTAATCCGTATTGTTGCCTACCATCACCAAAAATAATGAGTGCAATCGTCCATTCTTTCATTGCAGGAAGATATGCTTGTAAGCGAAGAAAATGGATATTTCTGAAGAAATATTTGGATGCCAAATGATGACGAAGCCCAAAGAAGAGGCAAGTCTTCGGTTGCAATTTATGCCGTTGTTGTAAGCGTTCATCTATGCTTGTTTCCATTTTTGAAGTCCCGCAGGCCGTCCAGTCACGAATAACGTCAACGATCACAAGGCGAGCGTCATCCAATGGTTGGCCTGCCACAAAAAAAAACGGTGAAGGTGCAAATTTATTTCTTGAATTGCATAATTCTGGCGTTTGTTACTGTTGTATCCCAGATACAACCGACTACCACAATTTAGCAACAAAGTTTCGAAATTCCATTGCAATGTTTGCCCGTTCAGCCATCCGTACTCTCCGCTCTTCTCGCACTCGTGTCGCCCGTGCCTTTTCGGTAAGATCATTATTGTCGGTAAACRAATTGTGGAGTTAGGGAACAACTTTCGCTAGCTTTYTAWCYATGCTGCTACGATACAACTCTGCAAATTCCATTTTTACTACRAAGGCAAGTGCAGCCCCGGTCGCTACTGCGTCGAGCTCGAGAATTTTATCTGCCGCACTTTTTGCCGCTAGCGTATCTACAGCCACGGTCTACTCGAATTCTACCCGCATCGCCCAATGCGATGCCGCTGCCCCACCTGTTTATGGTATCCCAGGAACGAACCAAGAGCGCACATTCATTGCCGTCAAACCCGATGGTGTTCAACGTGGTCTGATTGGGGATATCATCGCCCGATTCGAGAAGCGCGGATACAAATTGGTCGGATTGAAAATGGTTTGGCCCACATTAAAAATGGCTGAGGATCACTATGCTGACTTGAGCAAAAAGCCTTTTTATGCTGGATTGACAAGATTCTTTTCCTCTGGTCCGATTGTGTGCATGTGCTGGGAAGGTAAAGATGTCATCAAACAAGGACGCCAAATGCTTGGAGAGGTAAGTGGTTTGTGGCTTTTGATGTTGTTGTGGAAAATGGCCCGATCAAAGATTCCCACAACCCGACAACAAAAATGTTGATACTTCATTCTTACAGAATCGATTTTGATATGTTTGTTTGGTGCCAATTGGCTGTCTCGATTTACAAATGCAGACCCAACCATTGGCTTCGAAACCCGGCAGCATCCGCGGTGACTATTCCATCGATCTCGGAAGAAACATCTGCCACGGAAGCGACAGTCCCGAGGGAGCGGAACACGAACTCAAAATGTGGTTCCCTGAGGGAGTTAATAACTGGGCAAAAACTGTTGACTCTCATATATACGAATAGATTCTATGGATAAACGAAAACAATATGTGCTTGCAACTATCGGTGGTTGTGGCTTTGGTCATGACGCGGTGGAACACCTACTTCGGTATTTCTTTTGTTCTCGGGGGACATTTTACATCCATAGACGGTGGATTCGATAGAAATAGACAAGTAGAACAAGATTATCCCGATTCGGAAAAAAATTGAAGAGCTCAGTTGTGTATGTCGGTTAATTCAAGTTTTGAATACGATCGCCAACCATCTGACATTAAGCAAGGAAAATACCACATTCATTTCCCGCCCTCTAGTTTTATATCTGAACGGAACATGTCAGCTATTTTGTCCTGCAACGTTCGTCGTGTGACCAATTTACTCGGTCAAAAAAAGAGTGGGAGAATTGTTGTGCACTTCGGTCTCATTCGCGTTATCTTACGAAGTATCGTAGTTTTACTTCCACGCGGCTCAAACCAGAGATTCGATGGTCTTGAAAATTTCTTCACATGCCTCTTCGTCTTTGAAGGCTTCCAATCGTAGGCACCGGCTGCTGATACAATTGTCCCGGACCATATCTTCACATTTTTGTATCCGCTTCTTTTTGAGCGTCACCATACCAGGTGAAATAAACGTGATTTCTTCCTCGAGGGGATTGACAGTGACGTGAACAGCACTCTTATTGAATTCAAATGATTCTCTCACCAGCCGCTCCGTCGCCATTTCTCGCTGCTCCGTGTATCCACCAACCATGTGGACCACGACATCAGCGCTTTTCAGGGCGTCTTGTTGCCAGCCGAGAAAATCGGAACCAACGATGTCCAACAGATCGCCACCGTCCCAATCACGGAGGGAAACATGTGGGTGCTTCTTCAAAAAGCCTTTCCCAAGATATCCAAAAACCTCTGTGACTCGGTTTGGCGCAGATGCTAGAAACGAATTCCTTGTCAAGACAGTCACGTCATGGTCGACCAGCTTCGGCAGCAACAAACGGCCCAGTTTGCCCGTTCCTCCGGCAATAGTGACTTSGAGGCCTTCGCATATGGACAAGGTGGCGAGTGCGAAGGTCAGTGCAAACTTGCACGTGGTACAAACGTCATAACTTTGCATAGTAATTGTTCAAGTGTAGTGTATAATGGCCGTTGCTCTTCGTAATATGATTTCTCAGATAGCTGAGGTAATGATAATTTGTCGATGTGGGGAAATCCTCAAATCTTTCCCACTTCAAACAACGATTTCCCATTTCCTCAAAAAAAATGTATTATGCGTGTGATCAAAAAAATTAAAAATGCCTAAATTCGCGCGCATAATCCACGCGCGCATCCCTCATTGCGTCGGTTATTTTTTCGACGAAATAACCCATGTTTTGAAGGTATGTACGGTAGGTGGAATTCCTGGGTTCTCAATACACAGAAAACCAATGGAAGAACATCATGGTATGAAAGAATGGGTGAATAACCCATCAAACAATCCAAGAATAATATAGCACAAATAACACACAAACTTTTGGGCCATGATTTCATTAAAAAGTCCTACATGGTCCTGGAGGACTCAGTGTTCTTGTGTCTCAGTTGCACCACCACCAGCATAAAAGGAGCCATTCCCCCCTCTGCTGTTACGTGCACATCATCGTTCGGAATTAGAGTCCCGTCCACATACAGAGTATGTAAGAGTCAAAATTGTTCTGCMACTTCCCTACGGTCTAACATATTGGAAAAAGAGCCTGCTGTTTTGCTTCCTTGTTCGTTACTGTCAAACCATCAGCGTTGATTGAGAATTGGATTGGTCGGAAAAAGATCTAGTACCATCTGTTGGCGTTGTGCTCATGGACCGCAGGGGTATCGTCTCRCTGCTGCGATCAAATTCTCCAGTTGCAAGTAGACGAAAATAACGTGTGAATTCCTTCCGAGCGGACAACAGCTGCACCAGGACCACCAATTGGAAAAAGCAGAGAGCCGAACTTAGCGTCGATAGTCTCAAAAAAGTCCCGATCAATGAGTGTACCACCAGCATATGGCGGTCGCTTTCCTCGAAGATGGAGTTGGATTCCTTCAGTTTCGAAAGATTGATCATGAGATTCGTTTCGGCACCCCAAACGTAGACCATATTGAGCGACAAGAGCGAAGCACAAAGGGTAGCACCGGCAAAAATCCCGACCACAAAATGGGCGTGCTCTAGCAAAGAAGACGATTCCTCTGAACTTATCCTTGCAAATAAAACGTAACCTAGCACGGCATGCGCTAGAGCAAAGATTCCGGAGGAAGCTCCCGTAAAGGAAACACCCTTGTTGACCTTCCACAGTTCYTCCAGGCCAGGGCCCTCGTAGCACGGATCGACATAACAAACTTCGGAAGCGTTCCAATACACCAGCTTACAATACCAGAGGGACAGAAATATCAGAACCGCGTGAACGATAGCTAGCATATTTCGCCATGAACAAAGCAGAGACCTACCGCTCCCCGCAAATTGATCAATGGTGACCACCATGGTTTGGGTTTCGTAGTCCTCTCTATTGCTTTACAGATTGAAGGTGGAGACTGAGACTTTCGCATTAGACTTGAAGCCAGTGTTGTTTTCTGTCACACTCGCCCTTCGAGTATTACGATGGCAACTTCAAGAGAGCGGAAACCAAAGGAGGCGATTATCTCAAAAAACTACTTCTAATCGACTTGATGGATTTCAAATTGTGACTTCGTACATGTACCGTAGAAAGTAAAGTACGGTACGTACCGGTAGTAAAGTACAATTCTAACTTGAAAGACAGTACCGTACAGAATCATTTTCAATAGTTGGTGTTGATTCGATACGTTGCAACGTACGAAGTCTAAAAGAGTATAGAGATAACCCTATTGACTAGATAAAATATTAAAGAGTGAGAGAAACACTTTGTGTCCTCTGGGTCTTGTGCATCTCTATGGGATCTTATCTCGACCCTTTCATGACAAATAAATCACAATTTCTGTCTACCTTGGCCATAAATTGTGAATCAACATAAATTGATAAATCGATGCGCAAATTTCTCGCTTGATTAACGTCTGTTCGTCAACACACTCCTCGCTGCTTGTTGGTTCTCTACTAGAGCACAGTAGTAGCGAACATCCATACAGTTAGTACTGAGTTCCAGGTACTGGTGTTACTCTGCTGAAACTTGCACAGCAGTGCTTCTTTGACTGCTCAGTCGTTGAGCTTGAGTGTTTCCATATAATTGCTTGTATCGATTGTATTCCTTATCATCCACACCCTGTATGGTGTTTCTAAACTTTCGAAACTTTGCACCTTGCAGTGGTTTAGTGAAATAGTCGGCAACTATCTCATCGGTGGGGCAGTACTCAACCGACACATCTCCTTTCTTGATTCTGTCCGTGACGAAAAAGTATCGCACGTTAATGTGTTTTGTTCTCTTTGTGCTGGATGCACGTCCATTTTTGGCAAGCTTTATGGCACTTTCATTGTCCTGATATAGTATATTGTTGTTCATCAGTTTCATGGTAGCGTTGCTGAGGTTGCCTGCATTGTCGGTCATATGCTGTTTCTGCGCGAGGAGAAAATATCGCGTCCACAGTATGAAGGACATATTGTCATCCACTCCGACGACCTCAGCCTCAGTTGAGCTTTTGGTGTTAAGTTTCTGTTTAGTACATGTGGTGATAGCCGCCCCATTTCCGAGGGACATCATCCCACCTGTGTGGCTTCGCATATCATTGTGCACGGCAAATGCTGCATCCACGTGCCAGTACACGTCTCCTGTTCCATCCCATCCCAGCACGAGGGGAAGAAAAGCTGTCTCGGATAAGTAACTCATTACACGCTTTAGTTTCTTCCAATCATCGACGTCGGGTTCTGATATTCTTGTGCATAGGAAAGCAATGGATGTTTGGATGTCCGGCCGTGTCCTTTTGGCCATGTACAACAACTTTGCCACATAGTGATGGAATAGGGCCGCATTTTCTTCAGTTAACTTCTCTGCATCTTCGTTGATCTTGAACAAATGGTCAGCGGCTGGTGTTACTGCGGATCCCCGGAGGGAATCTGGGAGACCTTTTAGGACATCTTCAAGGTAATCGAACATGCTCAAAATGACTTTGAAGTTTGTGGTATAGTCGATCGTCATTCCCACATAATCATGTATCTTTCCCCTTGTCTCTGTTAGGGGGGACTCTTTCCCAAATTTCTTGTTTAAATCTGCAATGATTGAGGTGACCACCTCAGGGTCCTTGTGTGATATTTTTAGATCATCAACATGCCAGACAATTGTACATTGGTTACCATCAATTACCTTGTTCACTGTGTATGGGTCATACAGATTCATTTCGAACCCCCACTCCTCAAGCTGTCCTGATAGCTTTTCCCAAAACAGTATTGCTGCTCGCAATGTTCCGTATATTGCCTTTTCGGCCTTGGTGAAAAGCGTCTTCTTCCCATTCTTGTTAAGGAGATATTTCCTGTACATCTTTGGATCCACTCTACAGAGCAGCTCAGCCATGGTCCCATCAAGGCGTATATATACGTTCTCGCCTTCCGGCATGTCCGTTTGCAGGAAAGCCCCAGGGATATCTACCGTGGCAACATCACGCTGCTCGATAGCGTCTATGATGCAAGATAGTACCAGTGCATACAGCGAGACGGTTGGGGATGTCGCATCTTCCTTTCTAATGAAATCTCTTTGTCTGCGGCCATCAGCACAACCTCGTCCTTTAATTGACGTGTCCCTTTTTCGCTTGAGGAACATAAGGTACGGCAGGGCCTGCTGTACTGTTTCCTTAGTTAATGTCCGCGGGTCCAAAGCAGACAATACTTTTCTATCATGAATCTGCTGAAGCTCTTTCAACACAGCGTTCACGCCAGCTTCACCAAATAGTCGAATTCCTTTCTTCACCCCGTATTGTGGTGTTACATGTGAAGCCTCAAGGTTGTTATATTGTTTGATTGCATTAACAACCATTACTAGTGCATCGCGATTTGTCGCGAGTTGCTGTGCGGCCTTATGGAGGCCCCCAGTGAAGAAAGATTGACTGTGTGTTGTTTCCTCGTACCCGTCTGATGCGTTGCACTTGTTGTGAGTCCGGGTTACGGACCCACGTAGTCTTGAGCTTATTGGGGCATGTTCCACTTTGTTCACCGGTTCCGGATCACGTCTGTCCCCAGCATTGTTTGCTTCAGTTGCTGTCGACCGGTCGTCATTATCGCTTTCCACTCCTGTGTTATTCTCCCCAGGCTCATCCTGTGTATTGTTTTCATCGACCGCAACCGGCTCGTTGGCGTCTGATGCTGCTGCAATGTCCGCATCTGGATTGTCGACAACTCTCGACCCCGTGTCGACTGCTCCGACTTCAGTTATACTGTCGGAGATTGATCCGAGGGAGCTGTCGTCATCGTTATTATCAGGCTCATAGTCCATGTCCGATGCGTCATCGTCATCACGGTTGCTGCGTGTATCGATATCGTGAATGGTTGATTTTCCTTCACCATCCCCAAACATGATGCCGGCGGGCAGCTCTTGTGCCTCCGCAATTCCTTCAACACGTTTAACCATTGCCTGTGTTATTGGTGTTGGTGTAGCTGATCTGCGATGAACCCGTTTCCCTGTGTTGGTGTCATAGGCCCAGTATCCGCCCGTAAGGCTCCCTGTTGGTCGGAGATACAGGGCTTCCACGGCTTGCGGTGTCATCGTGTTATTTGTGTCGTCTTCATGAGCCAATATTGGTTCCATGAACTGATGCTTGCACTCCTTTGCATCCAGGGGAATGCCAGTCATCAGCTCTCTAGCGGATAGTGTTTACACACTCCGGTGGTTCTGTAGTTGAGCCAGAAAGTTACGGCGTACACTAACTCCATAACACAGCGCTTCGGAAGCTTCTTGAATGGGACGTGATTGAAATAACATCTAATGTTTTCCTTCATTGTGCGGATGCTCCTTTCCACGGTTGGTTCGTGCTGTCCGGCAGCTACACAGTGTAGTTGAATTGGCGATTCCATTTTTAGTAAGGCGTTCCTAGTGCATTCAAACTGATTGTCACCACATACTTGTGTGACAATAAACCCTCTGGTTCGGTATTGCCCTGCTAGGGACTTGATACAGTCCACCAAAGTACTGTGTGTTGCATCAGTTATTGCTCTAGCTGTTCTGAACTGTATGTGTCTCGATATCGAGTGAAAAAACCTTATACCATTCACCGTCATGATATCCACGTGTAGGGTTATATCCCTGTAGTTATCCAGTATCTCGCTTGGCACTTGTGTTAGGTCTTCCCTCATATGTTCAGCATTCGATCGTGTCTGCTTCCCTTTGACTATACTGGTGTGCTTGCCATAGATTGCCTCGGCATTTTGTACGTCCATTCGAGTGATCACAGAGTTCGCAATGAGCTTGTTGTCGAGCATTCGGATTAGGTCTTTACTTGTTGGGAATCCAAGGATCTCCTGTAGTTTTCATGCCTTGGCTGCTCGTCTGCAATCCAAATTGGAGAAACCTTCCTTGTTCCTTTCAATTGAAGCAATCGCAAGGAGGGTTCCATCCTTTGGTACATTTGACATATCGTAATAGTATAAATTACTGTCCGAGCGCCCAAACCGCATGGTGGTGCCATCCGCCCTGTGCACATGCATGGCGTTGTCGACTGAAGTGTCCATGGTGACTCGATGTTGATCAGATACCAGTGCCAGCGACAACACGCTCGCTATGCCATCCTTATAGAACCAAACCTCGCCGAAACCTGGTAGGTCGGCGATTTGATCGGTGTAGGCCACACCGGAGTTACAGTGAATGTTCATGCTTTGTCCATGTGGTTCCTTTCTGATGTTTCTTACCAGTTTTGGGTTGGTAATTAGGTTACACGACGATTCACTGTCAAGCAGTATCCAGTTCTCGTTTACTTTTCCTTTCTTGGATTGGGCGAGCAGTCGCTCCACTTTTTGGCTGTATCGAAATACATTGACCACCCCATACCGTAGAGCCTGGCGGTCAGTGTACGCTAGATCGAGGGCTGTAAGTGACGTTCCGTATCACCCCTTGTGCAACGTTAGGTCGCTAATATCCTTGATTTGAGTTAACTTCGTGAGCAGTGGTGTTTCGTCCATCTTTGGAGTAGCGGTGGCTTCTACTACTAGCCCCGTAAGTTTAGGATCCGGTTCGTTGGTATCCACACTGCTTGTGCTGCTGTAGCTCGTGGTGGATTGGTTATCGTGTTGTGGTGGTGCCGCCATAGCCTCCTGTGCATCATGTGCGGCATAGCCTCCTGTGCATCATGTGCGGCCCAGTAGCTCCAGTTGTCTTCATCATCATACATGTTGTTTGTTCCTTCGGACGACAACGATTCGCATTCGCTGTTATCATCGGTATAACTGTTGCTGCTGTACTGTACGTGGCATTGGGCTGTCTCCGCCTTGTCATTAGTATTGGATGTAATCTCACATAGCTGAAAATAGTTATCCATTTCTTGTCCAAAGTCGTCATCATTTGCTACTGCCATCATCAAGACTTGCTTGCTTGATAGTGTGGCATTATTGGTTCCAGATCCTTTAGTTACGAAAGTGTTTGCTTCCTGCCGTAATTCATCATCCTGTTCATGGGCTCCACCCTTATCACGTTGTTTCCTAGAATTATTATTACCGGGGCTGTTTCCTTTTGATCTGGGCCTTGGCTTCCTTGTTCCCTTGAAATGATTCAGCATTTCCAAAGCTTTTGTTGTGGTTGATGGGTATTGGTTCACTTCTAAATTGAACTGGTTCGCAAGTGTTTCCTTGAGTGTACTGGTCTCTTCATCACATCCTTCGATGATTATTGCGGCTACAAACTGCTGAAAAGCGTTGTGATTGATTTGTTTCTTTGTTTTATTGTCCCGGTCAAGGGCAATGTAGTTTTGATATGACATTGGCTCGCCGCTGGCGTCTGTTGGGTATTTGTCCGCATTCGAATCTAACTCATACTTGATTAGAGCAGGACAGATGTATTCTCCCCCTATCGTTTCCAGTACTTCGCTGAACTGTACGACTTGCTGGACATAGGACGTGCAATCCGGTCCTCTCTGCCGTGAGCATATGAGTTTCCTGAATGATCTTACTAGATTTGTTGGTACATGCATCTTTGCCTTGTTCCCTTGGAAACAGACGTCTCTTAGAAGTTTGAGTAGCTCGACTGGACATTTGCTTGTGTTAATGGTTTCCCACTTCTCATTGCTTTTTAGCTTCTCTTTCATCCCATCATCTATCTGTCCTAGAGCCAGCCTGTAGACCTTTTCCATATCGCTGTTATACGCGTTAATTTCCTTTGCGCTTTGCTTTAACTGCTCCTTATACATGTCGATTATGATTTCCTTTAGATCCGCGTCCTCGATTTCTTTGCCTTCTGAGTCCTCTTTAGTCCATTCATCTTTCGATGGTTTGGATGGGGAAAAATCGGCTCTTTTGAGACGTTTTAGTGTTTCAATGGATGTGCCTACCTTGGGCATGTATTGTGATCCTCCAACTGTTTGGAGACGATCTTGGAAATCAGTGAACTGCGTGATGCTTCCATCTTCTGTGAGCACTATACCCTCCAGGTCGCCTTTACTGTATCCAGTAAATTTCTTTGTCTTTTCGCGCCTGTTGCTCGGGTTGTTGTTGTTATTATTACGGCTTCCGTTATTGTTGTTTCTTCTTTTCTTTACTGTTGACCATTCAGATGACGATGAACTCGATGAGCTCATCCTCTGGTCCTGTCTGTCGTTCCCTTGGGAATCCATGGTTCGATGTGTTTGCTTTCCTTGGAAAGCTATCGCTTGTATGGACCCTTGGGTCTCACGGGCAGGCTGGATGTAATCCTTGGATTAATTACGCAGGCTGGCAATAGATAGTCTATTGACTTGCTTGCCCCTTTAATATTTTATGTTGATTCGATACGTTGCAACGTACGAAGTCTAAAAGAGTATAGAGATAACCCTATTGACTAGATAAAATATTAAAGAGTGAGAGAAACACTTTGTGTCCTCTGGGTCTTGTGCATCTCTATGGGATCTTATTTCGACCCTTTCATGACAAATAAATCACAATTTCTGTCTACCTTGGCCATAAATTGTGAATCAACATAAATTGATAAATCGATGCGCAAATTTCTCGCTTGATTAACGTCTGTTCGTCAACAGTTGGGCGCGCAAAAAATGATTACAGTATTTATGTTTTCAGCGCGCGATTTTTCCTACCGGTACGAATCCTTTACCGCTAGGTTGACAACATCAACCATCAACAAACGAGATCCAAAATTCAAAATTCATTCCAAATTTCTGCTTCATAATCCATCGTCCATCATCTACTTCGATCATCCAGACAAATAGAGCCTAAATATCTATGGAAGAATATGGGATGGCGGCACCGTCGTCATCTTCCTCGTGTGCCTCAGTGGTCTTTCTAATAACAGGTGCTTCGAAAGGCTTGGGAAAAGCGATTGCCACAGTTGCAAGTAACTATTACTCAAGAGCCGTAAGCAAGCCCCGCAGTGTTGATGAGTCCGATAATCCCGATTGCAATAGCAATGGACAAAGGAATGGTCTCTGCTGCCCTTCGATGCCAACAGTAAGATTCGTTTTGGTAGCAAGGTCYTCAAAGGGTCTCGAAGAGACCAAACAGGAAGTTCTTTCGAGCCGGCAACGGTGGATACATAACGCTGCTTCCGCGGGAAGAAACGAGCATGATATCATTTGTCGACCAATGGATTTATCAGATTTGGATCGTTTGAATGCCAATATAGACATTCTCTTGGATGATGTTGACCGACTGTGCTCCCTCGACAATGCACMGTGTACAGAAAATCATGAAAATCGTGATAGGCACGGAGAGCAGCAACAGCACAAAGTTGTCTTTATCAACAATGCAGGAAGTCTTGGGCACCTCGGACCTTGTATTAGTAGTCCATCGCTTGAAGACATGCGTAGGACAATCGATTTCAACGTGACGAGTTCCTTGTGGTTGTCGGTACGGTTCGCCCGGCACTTGAAAGAACATCAAGAATCAGAGCGAAATCGAATGACTGCCGCCACAGTTGTCAATCTTTCCTCGCTTGTGGCTGTTTCGGACGAGTTTTTGGGGATGGGTATTTATAGCGCGGGAAAAGCAGCACGAGAGCGCTACCACACGCTGCTGGCAAAGGAAGAATGGAACGACCACAACGAGCGGCAGGGATCAGTCCCAGCAAACACAAAAGCCACAGTCAACAGCGCACCATCACAGTTTGCTTCTTCTACTCTCAAGATTCTGAACTATGCACCGGGGCCTCTCGAAACGAAAATGACCAAGGAAATCCGAGGATCCGATGCCTTGGATTCGGAACTACAAGCCGATTTCGAGAAACCCTTGTTAGATCCCAGAGACAGCGCGCTGAAGYTAATCCGGCTTCTCGAGGAAGGGGAATATTTCGATTGGGAGAGCGGAGCCCACGTTGACTATTATGATCTCCCCGACAGTAATGACAAAKAAAATGAATGACTGGCAAGATCAATTGAAAGTGCCAGAGAAAYAAGTCATTTGATACGAATTGATCGCGCGCCACGCGCTGTCCATCCTATGGCATCCAAAGTTAAAAATCGAGAGAATTGCAATAATAATGATRGGTATAAACAATTATGTTTTCGTCATTTTAAGTAAAAGCAGAGGGTTTTGTCAAGTCAAACTGAAGTGAAGATATAGCACAAATCTTTGGAAAGATACAATGTTCCCATGTTGTGTGGAATAAAGACGCAATAGAGAGGAAACAAGCCGTAGAGATGGCAAGTACAGAAAGAACAACAAGAAGGAGAGTGTAGTACAGACAAGCAAGGCGTAAATCTGTCAAAAAACGAACCTGTTGACCCAGAGACTCTTCTTGGATGCAGGTAAGTTCTAACTTCTGTTCATTTGTGCTTGGCGTCGCTCGGAAACACATATAGCTACATCGGTGCAAGCCTGCTAGTTGAGAGCTGGAATGACCGGCTTGGGGATTCCATTCTCGTCCCAAGGGAGTTCCATCCCCGGCAAGGGTTCGAGGTCGTCGAACCAAACAGCCTTGGGGTCATACTTGGCGAAGAAGGGACGACCGATCCAGTCTTCGTCACGGCACTGGAGGAAACGCAAGACGAAGGCTTTGTGGCCCAAAATTTCTTCGACACCAGTCACCTCGACCTTGCCTGCAAGAAAATGACGCGAAACGCACAGAGCACCGAACAMAATAATATGAGCGAAGCCACGAAAAAGTGATCTGTTCGACAAACTTTCTTGTCTAGTATGTAAACAAACCACAGCATACATACCAGGTGTGCAAGACATGGAGGGTCCCCGAACGGTTCGGATCAGTCCAGAGCAATTGCGGAGTGCATCGCTGTAAATGCGCTGGGCTTTTTCCATTGGAACATCAAAAAAGGCCTGCGCACCAGTATCGCGGGCCATGAACATGTAGTAGGGAATGATTCCCATCTGAACCTCCTTTCGCCACTTCTCGGCCCAGACATCGGCATCATCGTTGATGCMCCGCATAACGGGCGACTGAGATCGAATGGTAGCAAATGCTTCTTTCTGGATTCGCTCGACGGCATCCTTGACCTTTTTGGTGGATAGTTCTCTCGGGTGTCCCAGGTGGGCCATGATGGCCAAGTGACGACCGCCCTCCTCTCGGACTCGGCGCATCATTTCAATAAGCTCGTCGGCATCCTTGTCGGTTGTAAAGCGCTGCGGCCAGAAAGAGAGACTTCTGGTACCAATGCGAATGTTCTTGATGTGTGGCAAAAAGTCAGGATCACAGAGAGGCTCGAGATACTGCTTGAGAGATCGGGTCTGCATGATCATGGGATCTCCTCCCGTCATGAGAATGTCAGAAACCTCCTCGTGGTCCGCCAAGTAATCAAAGAGAGAATTGGCCTCTTTTTGAGCAAATCGGAGCTCGTCGTCCCCGATGAACTGAGCCCATCGGAAGCAGTAGGTGCAGTACGCATGGCAGGTCTGTGCAGCAGCGGGAAAGACCAGGGTGGTCTCGCTGTACTTGTGCTGGACACCAGTCAATTGCTTGGCGAGTTTTTCGGCCTTCGCAATTTCTTCGTCGGTACCCTCCTTGGTCTTTGGCGCATTGAGGGTCTTTTGGCCTGCCGGATGCGGGTTCAGTTCACTGCGGATTTCTCCTACGACCTTCATCAAGTTGACCGGATCTTCCGCGGCCTTGGCTGCCACGAGTTTCTCGCGGTGCTCATCGCTGAGCATATCGAGGGTGGGAAAGACTAAGCGGTAAAATGGATCGTTGCGGACTTTCTCGGATCCGACCGACCAGTCGATGAGTTCGTCGACGAAATAGGGAGAGGCCTTGAAGGGAAAGATGAGTCCCGAGAGCTTGATATCGTCGAGAAGAGGAATGATTTCGGGGTGTTTGTCGGCAATCTTGTCAACGGCCTGTAGACTAATGGCCCTGTATCGTTCGTTGGGTTGGTTTGGAGATTGTTCCATTCCGTTCATTCCCATCATGTTGTTTAGGMCTTGGTCCACGGCGAYGGCCTGGTCGGCCATAAGCTCGTCGTCATTGCTAATTTGGATGCTGTCGCCTGTGTTCTTTTGGATGTCAATAACGGTCTTTTTCAATGAGGCAACACCAAGGGCAGAAGAGGATTGTTGGGATTTCCCATTGGAGACCAGGGCGGTTTTTCCCCGAAAACGGAGCGCATCTGGGGTGAACGCGTCTGATGGAGATACAAGAGCACCCAATAGAAAAGCGCAAAGAACGTATTGGCGGCGCGAATAGGATGGCAAGGAAGTGGGGGCAATCATTGCTTATTTGGATGGCGAATGGAAATAATGTGGGACTTTAATTGGTTGAATTAAATGCCAGTTTGGCAATGGATTTGGGAATTCAAGAATCTATTTTTTTGTGGAAGATTCATTTTCCTTCTTTGTTACCGCTATCGCTTGTTTTTTCCGTGAAAACTACATTTTGACGTTCCAAATCCAATCTGAAGCAATGCGAGCGTGCGAACCCAAGTGGCACCATTGGTTCCTATTAGAAGTGTTTGCGTTCTTACAAACCAATCCAAACCATTAAATCCCGTAGTACCGGTACCGAACGAGAAGGCCTTTCTCGCCAGGACATATGGGAAAACGCGCTAGGTCATTTTTGATGTCTCTGGAGAATCTGAGAGAATCTGCAAAATCGATTTAGACCACACAATTTCTTAATCGTGGACAGATCGTATGTGTGATGTCAATAA